TATCCTTAAGTATTCATAGTCATTTAGAGTTAATATATCACTACTTTATATAAAATAGAAAAATGTTACAACCATATAGGCCTATTTAATACCCTATCATTTATACTACAGTTGTTATATGAATTATATTTATTTTTGTTAAGACTTTCCACATAGTTTTATGATTTTTAAACAATCATATATGTTTTAAAGAAATGAAGAGAAAAAGCAGCCTTTTACATTTACCTACATATTTTCCCATTTGTAGTATTCTTCATTCCTTCTCAAAGATCCAGCTTTCCATCTGGTATAATTTCTCTTTAACTTTCAACAACAGTTCTTGTTCTGGAAGTTCATTCTCTTAGTTTTTGTTTATTTTATAATGTTTTTATTTTGCCTTCAATTTTGAAGGATATTGTTACTAGTTATAGAATTTTATGTTGAGAGTTTTCATTTTGTTTCACCACTGCATCTCTTAAAAGATGCTTTTCTACTGTTTTCTAGCTCCATCACATCTGATGGAAAGTCAGCCATCATTCATTTCATCCCCTGTATGTGAAGTGTCACCCCACCCCCACCCCCGATACTGGGGATGGAACCCAGGACCTTCGCACTGAGCTGCATTCCCAGCACTTTATTTTTTATTTTTGAGACAGGATCTCTCTTAAGTCACCAAGATGCCCAGACTGGGCCTGAATTTGCAACCTTCCTACCTTCGCCTCCCAGAGGACTGGGGTTCCAGGCTTGTGCCACCATGCCCAGCTAAGCGTCATCTTTCTCTGGGTACTTCTGAGATTTGCTTTGTTATGTTTAGTTATCAGCAGTTTGACCATGTTGGTAATAAATATGGTTTTCTCTGTAGTTCCTAAGCAGGATCCCCACCTCCCTCCAGTGCCATGGTAGCTCCAAACTCTGTCCTCTCATTCTCCAGTTCAGTAAGACTAGGGGTAGCCAGTTTCAGCCTCCCAGTGGAGAGCTGACCAGAACACCAGTGATGAGTTGGAGAAACAGACAACCCCTTCAGTGCTCTTCTTTCTTCCCAGCCTTGAGCTCTCCAGTTTCTGCCTGCCTTTGGTCGCTCTCCTCACCTTGGAGATGTTGGTTGATACTTGTATATTGTCTAGAGATTCTAGGTGGTAGCTACAGGAGCATTGTTCCAATAGAAATTACTCTGCAATTGTCATAAAATATAACTGATTTTAATATGAAGATTGTTGATTAAGTTTGAAAACCAAAAAACCAAAAAGTAAATACCAACATACAATAGAGGAAGCAGCTTCAGGAATAAACTACCAGCCCTGAGACTAGGGGAGCAAAAAGAAGAGGTTGGAATTATTAAAATTTAGAAGCTTGGAGGAGGCTAGAATTAATGTTACTAAGGAGGTATGTAAAGTTGCTTCTAGAAGTGTTAGAAAAATGCAAAATGGAAAGAACACTACTGGTGGAGGGAAGGAGCATCGCAAGGGTAAAGCTCTTAGCCATGGAGGCAGACAAAGGTGCAGCTCCTTTCTTCCTCCTCTAGCCTTCCATTCTGTCTAGCACCTTTTGTTGGCATAATCTGACAAAATAAATGAATGGGCAAAGTATAAATGTGGTTTGTAGTGTCCTGGCCCCAGTATCACAGAACAGAGCGTAGAAGGGTGTGGATATGAAGTTCTAAGACAGTAGCTTAATAACTGTGCAGCTCATGCATTGGCTGCTCAGGATTCATACACATTCTTCTGCACATGCTTGAATACCCAGGCAACGGAAATCTTTTTCTGCCTGACAAGATACAGCTATCTTCATGCAAGTGAAGATCTTCCCAAAATAAAGCCACAGAGTCCTCAGACTTCTAAGAAGCTACTCCTTCAATTCCTAAAACTTTCTAGAATTTTATGCAAGGATTGGCTTCCTTCACACTGGGTTCCCCTTCTCTAGGCATTTAAGTGTTTTGCCACTTTTATTCCATCCTCAGCTTTTCCTTTTCTAATATCTTGTTAGCATCTCTTATCTTTTATTGTCCTCTCTGCTCTTTTATTCTATTTCCCCTCTTAGGTTTATACCTTTAATTCCTTCTTTTGTCATTTGTGTGGGTTTGGAGAGAGAGGATAAATGGATCCATCTTGTAATCAAATACTGTTATCTCAGAGAAGGGCAGAATTAGGATGGAGTGCGGCCTGCTGGAGATAGTTTGGAGATGTAGTACTTGAGATGGGCCCTGTGATATTGGTGGGATTTAAATAGATGGGGAAAAAGGATCGTGTTCCATTGTCAGCATGCAGGGGAAGAAATCAGTGTGGTGTGGAGATCAGGAGACCTGCATTGATAGAGAATATGCACAGGGACCTAATGGGGATGTGAGTGAGGGGGAAAGTACCTGGGCCATCTCCTGTTGGGTAGCAAAAGCAGATGCCCGGTGAGGGCCTTCAAACCCCAAGGAATTGGATTTTGTTACTGACACAGAGGAAGTTTTTTAAGGACTTTGAATATAAACTAAAAACAACTAAAGTAGTGATTGAATTAAACTTGGCACATTGCATAGAATGAGTAGGGATGCAACAAGGTTGACAGGCAAGAAACCTAGACCACTTTGCTTTCTAGAATCTTAAGACTGGCTTTCTATTTAAGTAAACATTTTTCTCTTTAAGATAAAGTACTGGGCCTATAAAATTAATTTATCAGCAGACTTCTTTTATCTTAGTATTTTTTTTTTTGGTACTGGGGAAGGTCATAGTATTTGATTCATTTAAAAAGTTCCAAGGACCAGGGATTTAGCTCAGTGGCACCGTGCCTGCCTTGCAAGCACAAGGTCCTGAGTTCAATACCCAGTACCAAAAAAAAAAAAGTTCTGAGTTTTGCCAAGCACAGTGGTGTATGCCTATAGTCCCAGCTACTCAGGAGGCTGAGTTGGGAGGCTCACTTGGGCCTAGGAGTTTGAGACCAGTCTGGGCAACATAGCAACCAAGACTCTCTCTCAAAAATTAAAAAACAATAGATGTTACAAGTTTTAACAAAAATTTTAAGCAACCAAAGGATTGCGGGCTAATCTTCCTGGACTGTTGATAGAGGGGGCTGATAGAATGACTTTGATCTGGGCTGATTTCATCGAATCTTAAGGTTGTGTTTAATTTTAAATTTTTATTTTTGTACCAAATATTGAGTGTTCTTATGAATATTTTCACCTGGAAGTCAGTCATTCTGAATTGTCCTAGTTACATACTGCTAAATTTTACATGATTTTATTACAAAACACTTTTTGTTTTTCTCACATGTAAAATGAAAGTCAGTGGAAAAAATATTAAATGAAATTTTGCTCTTAAGTAATGAATGTTTTAATGTAAATATGGTGACATATACATGCACTCTGGAATACCATAAATCTAGTTTCCTACTAGGGCTATATTAGCATTTTTAACAGAACCTTTATCAACTAAATATAATTGGGCCATATGCAAATTAGGAATATTTTAGAAGAAGTTATTTTCATTTACCACTTTTCAGTTTCCCTTAATCTTTATTAAGTCATTAAGCTATTCAATTTAGAAAAGCACATCCATTACTTTTAAAAAAATTCTTGTGCCTCAGTTTTATTTTAACCCAACAGGCACTGAGTACATCAGCTCAGACTGGCACTGTTAGGTGTTGGGATCCAAAGACAGCTCATACAAGGTCTCCTCAAGAGACCGTTGTCAGGTAGGGGAAGACTTGTAGTGAATGAAGTGTTTTCATTACTCACAGGACTCTGGGCAGGACATGGTATGATGGACAGTGATAGATTGGGGCAAGGAGAAAAAGGGGCTAGGGCAAGATTTAGAGAAAAAGTGATACTTGAATTGAGTTTTATAAGGGACATTGAGAAAACATGGAATTCTTAGTGGGAGATACCAATGTATGTTTCTTGAATTGTCTAATTCTCAGTATATACTAGTAACTTTTTTCTAGCCTCCAACTATGAGTGAAAATGGAAAAATTTTAGAGTCAAAGAAAATTTGTTTTTGCTTTAATAACCCAGAGCCTTAAAATGATGAGGAGAGGATATAAATGTGCATTATGAGTATGCTATGATGTGCATTGTGATAGTGAATTGCATGATTTCTGCATCTTCTTCCCTTTTGGGAGTTTCAAATTATATCATCATCTTTCTGCCTTCTCTCACCTAGTTATGCTTCTAGTTTCACTAACTCAATCTCTTAAAAATAGTTTTCTTTCTCTTCAGGTCCAGGTTCAGATGAAACTCTTTGAGAGCAAGCCCTACCGTTGGGTATTGATAACAGTTTACATCTAAAATTGACTAGGCCCATAATTCATGGATTTATTAGATACTCAACACTCCTAGATCAGATCTACCTTAAATTTCAGTTCTGTACAATTCCCTAAGTGACTTCTATTTGTAATGAAAGCCATGTGTCTGTTGTATTCCAGGCTCTGTTCTAGGTTCTTAGGTGGTATTGACTAGAATGGACAGATCCCTGACTTAATGGAACTTATACTTTAGTCATTGTCAGAAAAGCTGAGAAAGGGTTTTTTATCATGTAGACAAAGGATTTATTAAAATTATGCTGCTAAAGTACTGAGTTTCTTTAATGTGCCTTTCATGGACACTGGGAGAAGACATTTTTTATTATAGGGGAAAGAGAAATTTTTGTAGCTGCAGGTCCTATAAGGATAGACCAGTATGATGTAGCACATTTTCCCTAGTTTATCTCATAAAAGATGAAAGTTTGAAGGTACTAAAAATGTGGTGATTTTGGAGACAGATAAGTGGGTGAAGGGAAAAATATTTAAAGACAAGTTATTTGAAGCTTTTCTTGCCTTGTGTTTTAGTGAGGAGAAAGGGAGAAGGCTTCCACCGAATGACTAAGGCGTCAATTATAGTTTGAGTGGACTTTAAATAGAATATAGAAGCATAGTAAAGCAGAAGAACTAAATAGGAAAGAATTCTGTTATGGCATTAGAATCCTCTTTATTAAATGGATTGCAATGGATTTGCAATAGAATATTTTCATTTTTTATTGTAGCTCTTATTTGTTACTTTACAGATGCTATGCCTACCTACTCAGAAAAATGCCCCTCTCTGCAGATAAATGTGACTTTGGACAAGGAATCAGAGAATGCCATTTCAAATACTGTAATAGAAAACCCTTTGCAAACACCGCAGGGAAAGCAAGAAACCATAAAAAGTGTTGAAATGTTGACAGTTTTACCAGCGTTTTGCTCATCGAGTAAAGAAGAATTTATCAGCCCCAATTTAAGGATATCAAAGTCAGATTCTGCTTTCTATAACCAGTCTTCTGTAGAGACACTCTGTGTCTCTCCCTCTTTCAAAACAGTTAACCCAGTAAAGGAGACTGTAATCAGTAAGGACCTTCAGAAACCTACGCAAGCCAGCATTGTTCAGATGGATAATGAAGACCTCAAGACCTTAACCACATGGGGTGAGTCTCCCCCCAAAACAACAAAAACCTACTCTTTTTAAAACACTCTTCTTTTGGGCCAGGGATTTAGCTCAGTGGTTTTGCCACCTGCTTTGCAAGCGTGAGGACCTGAGTTCGATTCCTG